GTATATGTATGAATAACGACCGCTTAAAATCGATCACAAATTTGTTATTTCGCTGTAGAAATTTTAGGTCTATGTTATGTAATTTGACTATTGTCAATTAAAGCTAATGCTTTGTATTGCATGCGCTCTACGTTTTTCGTTTTCAATCTCATAAATTTATAAAATAAAGTTTATAATGACTTTTGCTAAAATTTCAAAATCAAAAGTTATCAAAACAAATTCTATGGGACTGAGAAATATTATTTTTTAATTTTTAGTTCATTTATAAAAGCGTGATATATTAAAACGGTTTTTTTATTTGAATCATTTTTTTCTTTGCTACTGTAAAAAGAAGTATTTTCATTAATTTCGTCTTTGCGGAAATAAATTTAATTTTTTATTTATTTTTTCGATATTTATGTGGGTGGCAGACGACTTTTGTTTTGGAATTTAGATGGCAGACGATATTTTTTAAGCTTCTTATATGTATGAAGAATGATACGTACAATAAGTTTCGCGTATGCGGCTATAAATTTGTTCGTTTAATTTTTGTTATATTTGTAACCCTGTCGCGGAGGTGCGATGGCAGACTTTAAAATAAATATTCTACGTTATACGCAGCAATAATAGAAAAAATACAAAGCTTGTGGAAATAGTGTAATGAAATCTCTCGTTAACTCGCGGACTATAAGTAGTGAAAAGTAAATCATGTTAACCGAGTTGAGTGTTCTTTTGCCGCTCGTTAACAAACAAACGAAGCTGGTAATAAAATACCTTTATTTACCCGTATTATTTTAGGCCTACGGTTGAGGTCTGTAAAAACGTAATATTTACAAAACTTCAAGGTGCGGTAGATTCCTTAAGATGACGCGCAATTACCATTTTCTTAATCTGTGCAAAACTACGTAAATTTGTATACCCCTTGCGATAATGTAGGTCCCCTTTCAGACACGTCAAGTCTTGAAAGCAATTTTTATCGCATTCTCTTTTGTGTTTTCTCTTTGCTTTTTTTATTGAATTCAAGCCCTTGGATCTTTAAATGGGAAGCAACGAAAAGATCAAAAGAGAACAAGAAAACTTGAAACGAATTGACGGTACGGAGGTATCTGTACTCTTCCCACCTCCTTCGCCAGCGAACGAGCAGACTTGAAAGCAAGACTTGACGTGTCTGAAAGGGGACTAGCTCAAAAGAAATTATGAACGGGACACCCTATTGTACATATACAGGTATGTAGGTACAACCATATGTGCATAAACAACTATTATACGAAATATTTTCCCTAAGTCATATTAGCCCGTGGTTTAGTAGTCGTTCGCAACTATGAATATATAGGTATCGAGCCCTAACAGAACCCCGTAGCGAAAGTGGACACCGGTGACGTCGTCACTAATGAGGATTTAGTGACATCGTCGCACTTGCTGTGAATCCTAAACGACATATAGCTGACAATGACACTGGTGAGAATGTCATGCAGGTGTACTCCTATCAAAGACTTATAACAGACTTATAACAGACAATGCAGCGGTCACTTAAGCAAAGTCTATTGTCCCTGCAGGGAAACCACGGACCAGTGAATAAAATTTCTAGTTCCGTACTAGGTCTTTATCGCCAAAAAGGAACTAGTCCGACAGGAACTAGATCCCCACCAGTCCAAAATCGGCCAAAAGTGGCACTTTTAAAAAACTAATTTTTTCAGTTTTTTTCACTAGAAATCTATATCTCCAGTGACGAATTTAGAAATGGTTCGGAACTATAGAAAAAGGGATACAGAACNCAAAAGTGGCACTTTTAAAAAACTAATTTTTTCAGTTTTTTTCACTAGAAATCTATATCTCCAGTGACGAATTTAGAAATGGTTCGGAACTATAGAAAAAGGGATACAGAACGAACTAGATCTTATTTGTCGAATTTAGAACTAGTTCGGAACTATGGAATAAGGGATGCAGCGGGGGGCTTGTTTACTTTACATAGATACCCTGTAGGGAAAACACGAACTAGTGAACCAGATTTCTAGTTCAGTACTAGTTCTTTTTTGCCAAAAACGAACCAGTCCGATAGTAACTAGTTCCGCACCAGTCCAAAAGCAGTGAAATGTGGTACTTTCACTAAACTATTCCATTTTAAATTTTAAAAGCAGGGAAGGTAATCATTATGAGTAAAATAATTTAAATCAGCATTTGATCATTATTTTATGAATTATTATTGAGTTTTATTTTTTCGCTCAAACGGAAATAATTATTATTTTATTTTTATTTTTGGGATTACAAATAATGATTATTTTATGATTTTTATTTTTTCACGCAGAGATTATCATTAATTTTCAGTTTTATTTTTCCACTTAAAAATAATGATAATTTATAAAATTGAAAAGGCCATAAAGACGCAACCTACTGAAATTTTTACCTGAAAAGTTTGGGTCTTATTCCTTTTATAAGGGTGCGGCTACCTCTCAAAAGGATACGTCGGTTATCACGCTGGTATAGTTTTTGAGTTGCTTAATAATCATTATACTTAGTGATTCCATAAACAAAGGCCAAGATCCTGAAGGACAATTGAGAAAGGCAATGCAGTTGCAGAAAAAGAGGCATTTAAAAAAAAAGTGTCAAAATAATTACCACTTTCTCACTAAATTTATTTAAAAATGCAAGCCACCAGAGCTACCTTTTTTTTAAGAAAAGACAAATTAAGTTTTTTTATGCAATCCAACACAGCTACCTTAATAGAGTCAGTCGATAAAGTTTAGGTACAACGAATTTTTTACAATACGGGCAACTATTTTTTTAATATTTTAGTTTTCGGTAATTTTTTATAAAAATATGGTAAATTCTACAACAAAATCCCCAAAAATTAGAGTTCCAAACCTTATGCAAAATTTAAGAAAATTCTGCGAAATTTCATTAAAATAATTCACTTTCTATTTACGCTCTCTAGAAAAAGTTTTTTAGCCCATTCAATTTTAGTATAATGAAGTGCAAGTGTGAGGAAGCTAGGACTTACCAAACAACAAAAAAAAAAATGCTAAATATCAATGGTAAGTCCTAGCTACCTCAAACTTGCACTTTGTTATACTAAAATTGAATGGGCTAATAACTGAGTACTTAAATTTTTTCTAAAGAGTGTAAATTGCAATACTTGGATGGAAATTTGCAGTTTTCTTTAATTTTGCATAAGGTTTGGAACTCTGATTTTTGGGGTTTTTGGTGTAGAATTAACCATATTTTTATAAAAAATTTGGGAAAAATAAAATATTTAAAAAATAGTTGCCGGTATTGTAAAAACTTCACTGTACCTAAACTTTATTGACTGACTGCATATCTTATTTAAGTTAAGTACGACAAAAACTTTCGAAGTGCTTCATATACATATAAGCTTAAAAAGAGCTGAATTTACTTAAAAATCAATATGCTTAAATTTAGACAAGTAAGACAAAGTGAACTAATATTTTTACTTTTAAGCAGAACGCACTTTTGATTTTTACTTACTACTTAATTTTAATACTACTACTAATGTGGTTTATAAATTTTTAATAAATGCGTTTAAACATTTGGGATTGTATTGTCCTTCCTTCAACCGATCGTATTTAATATAGAAGGGAAATGTTTCGACAAGCCTGATTAGAAATGTAGATCTAAGGTGACGAATTTATAATAGGTTGGGAACTATAAAAAATGGATGCAGATCGAACTAGATCTCATCTGTCGAATTAGGAACTGGTTTGGAACTAAAGAAAAGGGGATGCAGAACGAACTAGATCTCATCTGTCGAATTTGGAACTGGTTCGGAACTACAGAAAAAGGGATGCAAAACGAACTAGATCTTATCTGTCGAATTTAGAACTGGTTCGGAACTAGAGCCAAAGGGATGGAACGGGGGACAATTGACACTTCCTAGGACATCGCAATGTTAAATTCGCCAGTCGCTAGCATGCAAAATAGAATTAACGCGTACTAGTCATGGTTCCAAACGCACTAGAACCGAACCAGTTCCGCACTAGTTCGTTTCCCTACAGGGTATGTGTTCGGTGGCTTTTTCGTTCAAATACGCTTCTATTCTGTGCTTCGCAGAAGCTTTTTCATAGCTTGGTAATACAAAACTAAAATTTGTGGTAACATTTCAACATCTTGGGACCGTCTGTAATCTAAGAAATAACAGCGAGCACCTCTGCAAACTCAGGTACAGCTAAAGGTATGTAAACGTACATTTCTTACAATCATTCAAACAAATTTAATTTCAAATTGAAAACACATTTCTTCCAAATAACTTAAAACCGCATACACGGAAGAACCAAAAAGATTGAAAAATCATGGTACTTTTTTCTTTCGCCTGTCGATTTTAGAACTGGTTCGGAACTATAGAATTTAGGACTAGTTCGGAACTATCGAAAAAGGGATGCAGCGGGGGGCAATTGACACTTCCTAGGACATCGCCATGTTAAATTCGCCAGTTGCTTGCATGCAAAAGAGATTTATCGCGAACCAGTACTGGGTCTAAATGTACTAGAAGCGCACCAGTTCAGAACTAAAGATTTTCCCCACAGCGTATTTGAACGAAAAAGCCGCCAAACACATATCTATGTAAAGTAAACAAGCCCCCCGCTGCATCCCTTTTTCGATAGTTCCGAGCTGGTTCTAAATTCGACAAATAAGATCTAGTTCGTTCTGCATCCCTTTTTCTATAGTTCCGAACTATTTCTAAATTCGTCACTTTAGATATAGATTTCTATGTAGTAAAAAAAACTGAAAAAATTAGTTTTTTAAAAGTACCAATTTTCGCCGATTTTGGCCTGGTGGGGATCTAGTTCCTATCGGACTAGTTCGTTTTTGGCGATAAAGACCTAGTACGGAACTAGAAATTCGATTCACTAGTCCCCGGTTTCCCTACAGGGCGGGAGCATAAATATTAATTCACAGACAGTTTTGGCGGTTCAACTAAACACTTCTACATAATATGTACATAAATATGTATATGTATATAAAATTATTTTAAATGAATCTAATCATTTCTAACATTTATCTTTTGTGTATTCGCAGTGAACAAGCAATGTAATGCTAACAAGCGCGCATAATTTCAAATGAGCATCTACAACGCCTGCGTAATAATGTACAAAATTGTAGTGACATAACAAAAACATATCTGGAGAAATCAACAACCGAAGGAAAAAGTTCTTTCTTTAATACTGAGATACAAAAAATAAAACAAGTATACGCACATACATATGAAATAAGGCAACATACATCTATATTACAACGCGAGTGAGTAAAAAAGTCGCACAACATGGGACAAAAACGCCTTAAGCGACCATCGTCGCTATACCTTACGTTGGCGCTACTTTGTGCCTCAACTTTTGCTAATGCTTCTGCCGATGCAGCTGGCGCTGAAGCAAGCACACAACTGGATCCATCGTTAAAAAATATTAAATATATAGAGAACAAAGTTATACCAGATGTTAAGTCATTAGCTAACGAGGCTAGGGGAGATGGCGTCAATGCGGAAAAGTGGCAGCAGGTTCAGCGTTTTATGGAGGACGGTATGCCTGTACTAGAATTGTATGGGTACAAACCGAAAAGAGGTGAGATTGATAGTGGAGAATAAAAATTTGTTATACAGGTTCAAAATCAACTGCATAATAAAATAAATAGAACACATGTATGCAATACCTCGCTTACGCCAAATGAAAATAACCAATTTTAATTTGCTTATTCTGTATTCATGATGGCCTACTCATATATAGGGACGTTCCGATACAATCAAAGTATCGATACCTACTTAAATGAGTTTACTCAAATCGTTATTTCGACAATACTTATATGAGCAAACCGAAAGTATCGATACCTACTTATATCGATAGTTTTTCATTCTTGTATATGCAACAAAGTGAAAGGGATTTTCCGGCGTTTATCTGTGACATACCTTTTACGTTATGCGTTTTTCACACAAAGTCCGAAAAATCACGACACATAGCGACAAATTTTATATGACACGGCGTAAATAACTAAAAACATGACTTTAAAAACTTTTAATTTTTTATTTGTATTATTTTGTTGAACATGAACGAAAAATAAATAGCAATTTGTATTGTATTTACAATACAGTGAGTGGAAGACCGACCTATCCCGGCAGCCAGTTCGAAAACGTCCTATCTCAGAACACTTTTCAAAAACGTCTTATTTCAGAAATATATTGAAAAACGCCCTATCTCTGAAAACGTTTCAAGAACAACCTATTTCATAACTCGGTTCAAAAACGCCCTATCTCAACATATTTTCAATATATTTTCAGTTGAGATAGGACGTTTTTGAACCAAATTATGAAATAGGGCGTTCTGGAAAATTTTTCTGAGATAGGGCGTTTTTCAATAAATTTCTGAAATAGGGCATTCTTGAATAGTTTTCTGAGATACGGCTTTTCGAACTGGCTGCCGAGATAGATCGATCTTCCACTAAGGTGTCGATATGTATATTTCGTCATTAGTAACGATATGTATATTTATTCATTAATTAGACAACAATTTCAACCTTTGAAAGGTTCCCACAAAACTTTACGGTTTTAAAGCATTCCTTGCACTTTGCTGTGGTATCAGTAATTTTGTAAAAATATATCCATACTTTAGATTTTGGCGGTGTCATTGCTTAAAGCAATTATTTTTCATAAAAACGACGCTGACAAGATATGGCACTTGCTCAAATCGATTCGATACAAGTACTTTTCTTTCGATACCAAGTACGAATCAATACAACGATTCGAGTAAAAAAAGTAGTTGGTATCGAAACAAAAGTATCGAGTACGTACTCGTATTTACTTGTGTCGGAACATCCCTACTCATATACTTCGTAGTCCGATTTTCGTGAAATCTACGAAAATGCGATCACTGAATCCGAATTGCTACGAACGTGTACACTCCAAGCAGGGTTGGCATTGTTTAAGTCTAAGTTAATTGTTACACAATTTATCACACGAAAATTCAAATTATTAATTGCCAATTAATAATTAAATGGCAATCAATTTGTGTCAGATTCTCTATGCAACCCTGCTAGGTATGTTTAATTTTGACTTGGAGGTATTTTTATTGAACAAAGAGCAATCAGCTGTTTGTTTCTGGTACTCTTTTACAGCTGGTATTCCATCAGGGATGTAAAATTGAATTACAAAATTGTACCTAATTTACGGAAACTTTACCTAAAAGTAGACAGATGTACCTAAAAAGTAAATATGTATTTATATATAAAGAAAAATAGGAGGTAACAATTCCCATCGATGCCATATCAACTTCTATACTCACATCAAACAAATTTTTGGCTATGAAAAAAATCTCTTGGAGCAGCGCGAGACAAAACTATGTTGTAGAAAAGGTTTATCACTTTCCTCCTAGTTGTTAGATCTGATGTTTTAAAAAGAAATATTTTGCATCTATCTGGCGAAATCAACTACAGTTGCGTTACTTTGACCACCCTCCTGTATCATTTAATCTAAAATACGGGTATCGAATTTCAAGCAAATCGGGCCATATATAGGATTTTTCGAATACATCGGTCCCTGCTCCACCTATCAGAAAAAAGTATCCTATATGTTAATCCTGGCAATAAGCTACCTACATGCCAAATTTCAAGCAAGTCGCTCCATAGATAAGATTTTTTTCAATAGATTGGTATATGGTCAGAAAAAATATTCTTTATGTTAACCCAGGAAATAAGCTATCTACGTGCCGAATTTTGAGCAAATCGGACCATAAATAAGACTTTTTCGAATAGATCGGTTCCTGGTCCACTTAGCGGAAAAAATGGATCCTGTATGCTAATCTAAGCAAAAGGCTACCTACGTATCAAATTTCAAGCAAATCGGACCATAACTAAGATTTTTTCGAATAGATTGGCCCCTGGACCACCTATCAGTAAAAAGTATCCTATATGGTAATCCACGCAAAGAGCTACCTACGTAAATTTCAAGCAAATCGGACCATAAATGACTTTTTCGAATAGATCGGACCCTGGCCCCCTTAACGGAAAAAAATGGATCCTATATGCTAATCTAGGTAAAAGGCTACCTACGTACCAAATGCATTTTTTTCGCGTAGCTCGACCGTTTAGGAGAAAATTGTTCCCAATTGATTCATGCTCATAATGAATTTCACAATTATCCGAAATTTTCCAAGCTTCACAATGAATTTTCCACCTTTACATCGTCCAAAATCATGCGAAAAATGTAAAATTTCGTTGAAAAAATTCAAATTTCTCCCGCTCTTCCGGATTTTTCCGAGTTTTCACCTAGAATTTTCCATCTTTCCATTCAAAAGCCATTCCGAAAGAATCGCACACAAAATTCCATAAAAAAAATCGATTTACCATTTTTCTAATTTCCCGGAGGTTTTTCCCAAAATTTTCTTGGTAAAAGTGCACATCAGTGGAACCAGGCCAAAATTGGCAACAAAAAATCAAGAGGGGTATCAATCGACGCGTTTTAACGCGAGTAATAACAATCCGAGACCGGAAATTAAGATTTTTAATTAATTTAAGAGTTATTCGCAAAAAACACTTGCACTTTTCGCACATGTTTTGATGGATTTTACGCAAATAAATGGAGTAAATGAACTCAACTTAACACGAATTGATGACTTTTTATACATTTGTCACGTTTTAAGTGTAAATTTTCACGAGATTCTGTATTTAATTGGAATATCGCAATGTTCAAAATCCGAACAACAATCTTGTGAAGTAAATATAAATAAGATGGAGGAAAAGTAGTGTTGCCACTCTATTAAAAATAAAATGGAGGTAAATTGCTGCTGCCATTCTATTAAACAAGTTTTTGAGCGTCCAGCTCCTTCCTGCGTAAGCGGACTTCGGCCGCGCTTTAGGATTATAACCCTTACCAAATAGAATTATCCTTTTGGTGTGCCCCAACTGGGGCTACCGCCCCAGCGAAGTAGCTTTGGGAAAGGATGAGGTAACTAGAACTCCCTTTCTGTGGGGTAAACCTGGGGCTGCCGCCCCTGTGATGTCTTAGTGCAAGTGTTTTTTGCGAATAACTCTTTAATGAATTAAAAACTTTAATTTCCGGTCTCTGATTATTATTATTGGCGCCAAGACGCGTCGATTGATGCCACTCTCTACTTTTTTCCGTCGATTTTGACTTGGTTCCGCTGAAGTGCACTACTACCATTTTCTTTCATAACAACCTTCTCCTGGCAATTTCGAACATCTAAAAAGAAATGTTAGCCAAATCGGCCCAACCGTTCTCAACTGATGAATTACTATACATTTTTCACACCATTTTTATAAGAATATATCAATGTATTTATAATACTACATAAAAAGAATATTTTTACGAGTAATAAACATTTAAACGTAAACATTTTCACTTTACTTACCAGATGCTCCATTTACAATGATTGTACCGAAAATCGATGTGCGCACAATTGATAAGCCGCGACTGAAGGAATTCATGTTGGAGCACTTGATACCAGGAATAGTATTTGATAATTTTGCTGATGATGACAACTATGGCAATGGGAATGGTCATAAAATGCATCTTCACAAAATGGAAAAATCGCAAAACAATTTGTGGCTACTCAATGGTTATCTCATTTTGTACAAACTGCGCTTGAATGAAAACGTGATAGCAATCGCGATTGATGGCTACCTCGGTGACCGAAAATCGCCCTACTCGAAGCGCAACATACAAGAGTCGAATAGGTGGAAAACTAAATACACATTATTTTATGTAAATTAAAGTTCATAAAACTTTCTTCACATTTTCCTTTCTTCTTACAGCCGATACAATGAACCACAACGCTTAGAGATGCGCAACGCAACATCTATGCATACTAAAATCGAGCCTATACTAAAAGAGTCTAAGTCTAGTCCACTCATGTCTTTCCTGAATAGCATGAAAAGCGGCACCAAAGTTTTTCAACATTTCCTGTCTAAAAGCAATCTAACCCATATAATGGACGATGGCTCATACACGGTACTCATACCGTCCGACAATGCCTTTCAACGTTGGCATCCCATCGACTGGGGCTTCTACCCGTTTAGTGTGCAAGAATTCACTGAAAGTGTGTTGCGTAACCACTTCTTGCCCACACAACGCCCACTGCGTATGGCCGAAGTGAAGAACATCGACCAGTTGGTGATACGAACAATGGGCGGAGAGAGTGTGGTCTTCCGCGGACATCGTAAGTGTTATTTGCTTGTTTTTTTTTTTATTGGAAGTAACTACATATGTTGTATGTACATATGGTACTTTTGCTGCAAGAGTGCAATAATCCAAAAAATCAAAAATCCGAGAAAAACGTTTTAAAGTTTAGGTAGTGGTGCAGTTTAGCGGAAACTGCCCAAAACTGGTCCGAAAAAGTGAAGAGAAGTATCAATTCGAATATTAACTTTTCTAATTCCTTAGAAAGTTTGCAAAAAGCTCTTTCACGTTGTGTACCAGGTTTTGATGGATTTCACGTAAATAAATGCACTAAACGAACACAAATTACCACATATTTATTACTTCTTTAACACTTTTGATCACAGTTGCCGTTTTGGTCCAAATGGGCCAAATTTGGTCCATTTCTTTTCGTTTAGTCCATTGGTTCAATTCTTTTTAAAATGGACCATTTCACAAGCTTTTGGTGGGGTTATTATCACCCTTTCACTTCATGCAATAGTTTCGCGTTTTAAATTTTTTCTATTTAATTGATGAATTTTCCGCCCTATTTTGAATATCGTTATCGTCAGTAAAAGTGACGATACGGCCATCGTCAGCCATGTTACTGATGAGCTGACCTTCGTAGACGATGACGATGACGATATTCAGCATAGGACCGATTGGCAACACCTGCTAAAAGTGTGAACTCGCCTTGCCGCTGATCTTCAAATATGGCATGGCTAATCATCTGTGAAAGCACGTTTCAAAAAATATCGCGGTTTTTGCTAATTTCAATTATTTGGTGACCAATATGAAAGTGGCTGCCAAAAATATGGAAAGGTAGCAAAACTTTAATCATAGCATTTGACACATGAAAATAATATTCGATTTCAATCGAAAAGATATTAATTATCTTGAAATTATTACACCACATAAAGTTCTGCAGACTTCCAAAACGTCAATTGCATTGCATACGTACAAAGTTTAATGTTCCAAAATGCCGAACCACAATTGGTTGACAAGGTATACTTTTCCGAAACGCATCCGAAAAGTTATCGAAACGTATCGCTAGAGTAATCAGCGCATCAGAAACAAAGTTGATGCTTCGTTTGGTTTTGGCTACCATTTGTGTTTTAGAAATAGAAAATTCCGAAATGGTGATCATTGTTTTATTAAATATTCGAAATATGCAATGTATATGGTTNCGTTTTGGTCCAAATGGGCCAAATTTGGTCCATTTCTTTTCGTTTAGTCCATTGGTTCAATTCTTTTTAAAATGGACCATTTCACAAGCTTTTGGTGGGGTTATTATCACCCTTTCACTTCATGCAATAGTTTCGCGTTTTAAATTTTTTCTATTTAATTGATGAATTTTCCGCCCTATTTTGAATATCGTTATCGTCAGTAAAAGTGACGATACGGCCATCGTCAGCCATGTTACTGATGAGCTGACCTTCGTAGACGATGACGATGACGATATTCAGCATAGGACCGATTGGCAACACCTGCTAAAAGTGTGAACTCGCCTTGCCGCTGATCTTCAAATATGGCATGGCTAATCATCTGTGAAAGCACGTTTCAAAAAATATCGCGGTTTTTGCTAATTTCAATTATTTGGTGACCAATATGAAAGTGGCTGCCAAAAATATGGAAAGGTAGCAAAACTTTAATCATAGCATTTGACACATGAAAATAATATTCGATTTCAATCGAAAAGATATTAATTATCTTGAAATTATTACACCACATAAAGTTCTGCAGACTTCCAAAACGTCAATTGCATTGCATACGTACAAAGTTTAATGTTCCAAAATGCCGAACCACAATTGGTTGACAAGGTATACTTTTCCGAAACGCATCCGAAAAGTTATCGAAACGTATCGCTAGAGTAATCAGCGCATCAGAAACAAAGTTGATGCTTCGTTTGGTTTTGGCTACCATTTGTGTTTTAGAAATAGAAAATTCCGAAATGGTGATCATTGTTTTATTAAATATTCGAAATATGCAATGTATATGGTTGCAATGTTTCGCAACGCTGTATACAAACAGTTTGAATACCGCAATAGAACAGTATCCAAACATTGCGTTGGTACGTTTTGGAAGTCAGCCTTCTTTCTGATACTGGTGTATAAATTTTGTCGCTACTCGACCACTTTCCTGCATTGGTAAATGGTGCAGAAATAATTGAATTTCAGTTTCGCAAATCGAGGCTGAGTGAAGATATCTTCAAAAACTGTACCAATATAGAACGTTTTTGGGATCAAGTGAGTTTGATTAAAAATGGCTTTGGGTGAAGCGGCCTTTGGAGAATTGTGTGATTTAGTTCATAACATTTTTAGTCTGCCTCACAGTTCCGCAGCAGCTGGGCGCAAATTTTTTGATTTAGCATTAATAAAAACGAAATTAATAAACAAATTATAATTTAAAACTTTAAATAATATAATGTTAATAATTTGTAACAATTGTAATGCACTTTGGATGCAATATAAAAAAAATCGTTATAAAAACTGAATTGGCATATTTTCTTGATAAAGAGGAATAAACTCCACTCAATTTCCCGATGTAATAAAAATTGGTCCATTTTTTACCATTTGGTCCGAAAAATAAATTGGAAATGGCAACCGTGCTTCTGATGTATTANAATGCCGAACCACAATTGGTTGACAAGGTATACTTTTCCGAAACGCATCCGAAAAGTTATCGAAACGTATCGCTAGAGTAATCAGCGCATCAGAAACAAAGTTGATGCTTCGTTTGGTTTTGGCTACCATTTGTGTTTTAGAAATAGAAAATTCCGAAATGGTGATCATTGTTTTATTAAATATTCGAAATATGCAATGTATATGGTTGCAATGTTTCGCAACGCTGTATACAAACAGTTTGAATACCGCAATAGAACAGTATCCAAACATTGCGTTGGTACGTTTTGGAAGTCAGCCTTCTTTCTGATACTGGTGTATAAATTTTGTCGCTACTCGACCACTTTCCTGCATTGGTAAATGGTGCAGAAATAATTGAATTTCAGTTTCGCAAATCGAGGCTGAGTGAAGATATCTTCAAAAACTGTACCAATATAGAACGTTTTTGGGATCAAGTGAGTTTGATTAAAAATGGCTTTGGGTGAAGCGGCCTTTGGAGAATTGTGTGATTTAGTTCATAACATTTTTAGTCTGCCTCACAGTTCCGCAGCAGCTGGGCGCAAATTTTTTGATTTAGCATTAATAAAAACGAAATTAATAAACAAATTATAATTTAAAACTTTAAATAATATAATGTTAATAATTTGTAACAATTGTAATGCACTTTGGATGCAATATAAAAAAAATCGTTATAAAAACTGAATTGGCATATTTTCTTGATAAAGAGGAATAAACTCCACTCAATTTCCCGATGTAATAAAAATTGGTCCATTTTTTACCATTTGGTCCGAAAAATAAATTGGAAATGGCAACCGTGCTTCTGATGTATTAAGTGAAAATGGTGGTGGGCTCGACGTGTGCCGACGTGTTTTTTTCGCTCCGTAGTTTTCGGACTTATTAAACTGTGATCATATCGTTTTCGACTGATTACAATTTGGCTACTTAATGTGTATGAGACAGTGACTCTTTATAAAATTCAAATTCGATAAAATTTAATAAATGCCTTGTTTGTGTGGGCTAAAGGTTGATCGCAACCAAGATAAAATTCAATGTGCCAAATGCTGTGAACTATTTCATTGGGAATGCGTGGGCATTTCTGCTGCCGATTTAGAGTTTTTAGTCGGCTCTAAACGAAAGTTTTTTTGCGAAATCTGTGCTGCTCGCAAGCGGAAGTCCATCTGCTCTCCCCCACCGTCAGTTTGTGGTGATCAGAGCGCAATACTAATTGATGTGCCGACAACGAATTTAAGTGCCAATATGTCATCGCAACAACAAGTGCCAAAACAAATCTCAATTGAAATATCCGCTGTGAGTGGAAGCAATTCGGAAATCAGCCTACAATCATTATTCGCGTTCCCCAACTTGTCTGGGTTAAAACTTATAAAACTGTCACAAAGCAAAAGAAGCCAGAGAACCGAGTATGGGAACGCTTTATGGTAAATTCCTGTAAATTCTTGCAACTTCTTGCGTGTTAGGGAACGCAACTATTGCTTGAATAAATCGCTGGTCTTAAGTCCAAAAATGCTCTTGCTCTGGCTGCAATTAGTTCTCTCCAAGCGGATAAACAGTTGTTTATTGCAAAAAAATGGAACTATGCGCAGAAATAAAAGAAATGCGAAAACATCAAACCGATGTTGTCTCCTCTGCCCTTGCGCCTCTTACCTCTGATATAAAAGCAATACGAAAGTGTCAAAGCGACGATGTCTCCTCTTCCCTTGCGCAGCGTTCTTGTTTGTGAGTTGTTTGTACGAGGCATAGTGGGTAGTAATGTTGTAGTGAGTTAAAAGTCGCACATCGTGTAAAATGTCTACACCTTTCTTCCTTTGAGAACTCTGTTACTGCTTATACCATCATATCATACGTTTCGAAGCACTCGTCTATCGATTCAAGTTTGTTTACTTGTCATATGCTAGTTAAAAAAGACGCTGATGTTAAAATATTGAAGCTAATCAATTTCAAGCTAGGTATACCATTACCTTATTATGATACCCTTCTTATCTCAGCAATATGGCCAACTGATGTGATTGTTCGTCCGTTCGATTTTTTTCGGAAAGCACCACCAAAACCATAACAGATTCCGTTCCCAACGGCAATAACGCAAAATTTGCTTTATTTCACTTTTAAATTTTAAAATAATACCAAAATCTCAGTTTTGCTTTATTTTCCATAGGTTTGAAATAAAATAAATTTTGCCTTATTTCCCATTGCTCATTTATACTATTTGTAACAAAAACAGTTTACTGATACTATGTTTATACGCACGTATTATTTGCAAATAACAATTTGCAAAATGGTAAAATTTGCCGTATAAACTCTGAGCTAATTTTTTATTTGCAAATAACTAAATCACGCAAATAAGTATTGATTAGTGGTACTATTTGCAAATAAGCGCAAGGCGCCG